ATAATCATTATCAGGGCTTGAAAAATTTGATAGTGTCTCACCAGTCAAAAATTTCACCAGTCAGCATGACCAGTCGGACTATAGCCTTGCAATTTATGTTAAAAAAGTTTGGAGACTGATAGAGCTTTCTGTTGTAGGTATATAATCACCACGGGGGTATTTTGTTTAACTATATAATTTAAAAAAGTACCATAAATGTTAAAAAAAACAAAAAAAGTTTCCCTACGTTATGTTATAAAACATTTGTTCTTACCCATATTTTTAGTAAAACATAAAAGTCAGGGTCACGTCGGGTAAATAGACACCAAACATGTCATGCCTTAAATTGCGTGCGCCCGCAAAAAACGCCCATAGGTGACGATTAAAACGCTTTTACTGTTCATCAGTTTAGTGTTATCAGTGATTAAAGGAGAACTATGAGGTTAGGGCTTTTCCCCATAGTTCTCCTTAGGGTAATGGGAGGACACAAATTAGCGTCCTCCCATCACCCTAAGCTCAGTATATAGGGAGCTACAGCTCGCGGTATACTGAGACGCCGCAGCTGAGGTGGATCCCGACAATTATGTATGGATCCGCCCAGCTGCGTGACTGACAGCTGGCTCTGCCTATCTAGAGGCAGAGCCAGCTGTACCTGCCCCCTCCCCCGTCCGTTCCGCCAGTCAGCGCTGGCAGATTGGAGTGGGGAGGGGGGAATCCAGCCCCTCCCGTCACCACTCTCTGCCTTGACAGGATCGAGAAGTGATTGGAGTGGGGAGTGGGGAATCCAGCCTCTGCCGTGACAGGATCGAGAAGTGAGCGAACACCGGTATGTGTTCGCTCACTTCGCGATCTACTGAGCCGACCTGTGACAGTCTCATTGTCACAGGTCGGCTAGAACTATGAGGCGAGTGAAAAGCACTCACCTCATAGTTCTCCTTTAGGCTGGGTTCCCACCTAGGCGTTCGAAATATGCGTGTATGATGCACGTTTTGCGGTGCATGTTTTAACCGCGATTTGCAGCCCACAAAACGCGCGTCAAACGCGCGTTTACGAGTGCTATCCGGCTGTATCCTAATAGATACACTCGCGGAAATACACCCCCAAAGAAGCTCCTGTACTTCTTTGGGCATAGAGCGTTTTTCAGCATGTTCCGACACGCTGAAATACGCCCAAGTGAGAACCATGCCCATAGGAGATGGGATTTCACTTGCAGGGCGTTTTACAGCGCGTCGATCAGCGATGTAAGACGCCCAGGTGTGAACCCGGCCCTAATGGCTCTAAAATTATTCCTCTTTTAGTTTGCGGCGATATGCAACATGTGCGGCACGTAGGCGCACCTGACGCATATATGAGTGTGTATTAGGGGGGCGCGGACTTAAAAAAAAGTTTAAAAAAAATAAATGTAATTCTTTTTTTTTTATGAATCTTTCATTTTTGTATTACTTTTTTTTTACATACAACTTTATTGCTATTACATGGGGGGCTAAGAAGCCCCCTATGGGATAGCCAATTTACATGACGGGTCCTCTTTATGGAGACATCAGGGGTCTCCAAGACCCCTGTCACCTAGGGACCTCCAGAGAAGCTGATGAAGCAGAGATCGGCTTCATCAGCTTCTGTAGCTGGAGAGTGACACCGAATGCAGGAAGTGATGTAATCTACATCCCTTCCTGCATTCGGGGACTGAGAGGAGATCAAAGGGAGTTCGTATACTGAACTCACTTTGATCTCCTGTCACAGAGCCGTGCCGGTCCCAGCCAGTCGGGCACAGCGGATCTCGGGACCGGCAACAGCAGTGACAGCTTCTGATACAAGCAATCGAGCGTCTCTCGAGACGCTCGATCGCTTGACTGTAAAGCTCCCGGCCGGCCGTGTAATTACAACGGCCGGCCGGGAAGCTGCTCGTCGGGCTCCACCGTCTGCTCGTCAAAGACGAGCGGATTTTTGAGCCCTGATTATGGACAATTTTATGTCAGGTATGGTACAGGCTCATTGGTGAAAAGCACATGTGGTACCAAAATACAAAAAGGGCAAAAGAAGTATACCTGGTAACGTGAGCTTAACATCAATAGAGTGCAAAATATTCATAGGAATGATAAGGGACTATATGCAGGAATTTGCCTATGAAAACGGTATAAGTAGCAACCAAAATGGCTTCATGAAGAACAGTTCTTGTCAAACAAATCTATTAACATTCTATGAGGAAGTCAGTGTTAATTTAGGCAGAGGAATACCAGTAGACATGTATCTCGACTTTGCTAAAGCATTTGATACAGTACACCACAAACGTTAATTCACAAATTAAGGTCTATCAGTTTTGAAGAAATTGTATGTACATGGGTGGAAAACTGGCTGCACAAATGGATCCAGAGGGTAGTAATAAATTGTTAATATTCTGGATATTGTGGTCTCCATTAATTATTTTAAAAATTACAGTTAGGTTCCCTCTTAAGTGCCTCTCTTTTAAGGAGAACAAGTTTTAATTTCTGGAGGCGATCTTCATAGCTTGGGCCTTCCATCCCCTTAATTGTTTAGCCCTTCTCTGAACTCTCAAGTTCGAAGATGTCTTTCCTGAGGGTTGGTGACTAAAACTGAACTGCATACTCAAGTTGAGGCTGAACTACTGATTAGATTGGTGTAAGTGGTAAGATTTTTTTTTTTCATCTCTTGCCAAATTCCCACTTTTAATACAGGATAGTATCCTGTTTGCTTTGCTGGCCGCTGCTTGGCATTGCATACTATTGCTGAATCTTGCTGGTCTTTCTCCATGTCCAGCTTCCTCAATGGAGCCCCACTAAATAGTAGTTTGCATGCATGTGCTTTGCTCCCATGTGCATAATCTTAAATTTTTCAATATTAAATCGCATTTGCTATCTTGCAGCTCAGGCCTCAAATTTTATCTAGGTCATGTTAAAGTGAATTTTGTCTCAAGAATTTACTGCCCTACACAGTTTAGTATCGTCTGCAAACACAGAGATTGAATTATTTATTCCAATCTCTGTTTATGAATAAGATAGAATCAGTCCCAAGACTGAACCCTGGGGCACCCCACTCACAACTTCTGCCCAATGAAAAAAAAATGTTTACACCAAGAACTGTATTGATGACACAAGAGGTTAGACGATAGGCGGTTTAATCTTAGATTGCGCACTGCGAGTAGTAAAAATTTGGAATTCACTTTCAGTCAGTGGTATCTGCAGATAGTATAGCTAAATTCGAGAAACTTTTAGATGGGTTTCTTAGTTCACTAAATATACAAGGATAAGGGAAATAAATACCAGGGCCAAGTGTATACAGACATACACAAGTTGAACTGGATGGACCTGCGTATTTATTCAATCTTGCATACTATTTTACTATGCAACTCCAGACTGACCTGTATAGTGACTAAAAATCTAAATTCTATAGACCAAACAGGAAATTTGTCAGACTTTTTAAAAAAATGTTGGGATATTTTGTGCACAGGACCTATGGAAATCAGAATGTAACCAGCCCCAGGAAAAACAACAAACTGAAAAAAGACACAGCGCTCTCATGGGAGTGTGGGGTATGTGCGAGAATAGTCGATGGGGATTGCTGCTCTACAAACGGGGGAGAAACCTGTGGACATAGAAATGAAGCAAATGAGAGCGCAAATCCTGGGAGCGTAAAGGGTGTAGGGACAACCAATGACTGTTACAGGTAGAAAGAACAAAAAATCATCAACAAAACATTCGGGACTTACTTGGGGAGCCGAGGGTCCTGACAGGGGAGGCCCCGATGAGGTTATGGCGATTCGGGACATATTCAGAGTATCCCGGGGGTGAAGGGATAAATGATACGCCAATTTGTACTGAGTGCTGTGTGTGCCGAGGGGCTGGTGGAGAGGCTGCATCTAGTCTTGATCGCAGTGTTTTTAGGACGTGAAGGAGTGGAAGTGACAAAGAGCTGGGGAAGAACGTGCACGGGACAGTGGTGAAGCATACTATTGCTGAATCTTGCTGGTCTGTGAAGGGCTCCTTTCACCACTGCCCCGTGCACGTTCTTCCCCAGCTCTTTCTCACTTCCACTCCTTCACTTCCTAAAAACACTGCGATCAAGACTAGATGCAGCCTCTCCACCAGCCCCTCGGCACACACAGCACTCAGTACAAATTGGCGTATCATTTATCCCTTCACCCCCGGGATACTCTGAATACGTCTCGAATCGCCATAACGTCATCGGGGCCTCCCGTCAGGACCCTCAGCTCCCCAAGTAAGTCCCGAATGTTTTGTTTATTGATGATTTTTTGTTCTTTCTACCTGTAACACATAGTCATTGGTTGTCCCTATACCCTTTACACTCCCAGGATTTGCGCTCTCATTTGCTTCATTCCCAGGAAAAACAAGGCTTCTCCAAAAGTCCACTTTCTGTAAGATTTAACCTAAAATCTGATCAATATTTTTTGAAAGATGCATCTGATTGATGGCATGCAGCAAGATGTATGAGGATCGTCTTGGTCTGGGCTAACTTGTTGATTTTAGCAATCATTCTAAAGGTGACCATACACCTAACCATTGTACAACTATTTTTGTCCCGACATCACACCCTCGTTCAATTTTTATTCAAACCGCCCATAATGCACACACCAATGTAGTTCGCAATTATCTTTCGTCAGCACCCCTAACTGGCTTATTTTTGTTGATCGAACGACCACATTTCTGTTTGAGCATGTGCAGTTTTCATCTTGAGAAGAAGTCAGAAGCCCTTATCTGCATACTGTCAGTGACTCAAAAAAGCCATGTATGACAGCCTTACAACTAGCATCATTCAAAGAATTCAAGAGCTATGACAGGCTTCCTTTTTTATCAATGTCTGAAACCAACAATACATTCTATTTTGTTTTATGTTTTGGCAAGCATTACTTATGCTCCAATTTACAGACAACTAAGCGCGAGAGCAGGGATCCATGCTTGTTTGTTACAAAGGTATTGACCTTTCTGATGTAGTTCATTACAATCTTTGGGCACAGTAAAAAATAAAATAAAAAAAAAAGTACTCACTCTCCTATTTTTTGAAGCTCGCCTCCTCTTCCACTGTACAACGTTAGGCATCCTTTCCACAAAGAAGCATACCTTAAATGAGATTTATGCAATAGATCATTATTAAAATAAACCGTTAAATGTAAACAGTAGAGCAATCATGCTGGAAAAATGTGTTTAAAATCTGCTTTTCTACTATATTTTAAGTTTAATTCACAATAGTGCAGCTTTAATGGTTTAAGGGTCCAACAAGTTATGAATATAAAAGGGGTTACTAGAGAATAAGACAAGCAATGGAAATAGATACAAGTGTGAAGTCCAAAATCGAACATTTATAATAGAATCTGGTTGTCCATAAAGATACCTGGAAATTGAATAACCAGGCAAGCCGATACCCAGTCGTCTTCCAGGGTAGCTCAAGAAAGCGAGAATCTACTAGAGGTACCACTGTCTTCAGTACCCTGCAGGGACCTACCAACACTGTATTGACAACTGGGTGAAACTACAGCATGCAAATTGGAGACAGGCAGAGACACCTGGAAGAGTCCACCAGCAAGCGTAGCTGGAAAAAAATCCCAAATCAACTGCGAAAGGACTGGCAAATTTAATAGACTGATTTCTTCCCTTACATACAGTCGAATGAGGGCCAATTCAACTTGGATGATGCCGCACATCCAACAATGATACATTGATGCATTGCAACAAGGCAGCCAATGTATTCGAGGGGCTGCCAGCAAGCCAGAGCATTTAAAAAGACATTTGTGACAGAACACAATGAAATATAGCAGTGCAAAATGTGTGTTGTACAGGTGTGTTGAGGTGCCGTTCTAAAGGAATGACACTGTAGTACTCCAACATGGATTACCATAACGCTATGGTGTAAATAGGCCCCTAAGGCCACATACTAGATATTTAAAGCCCATTCACACATTTCGAATGGCTCCCCAACCAACTGGGGCCATAACCTTCCACAGAGGTTGCTATTGATCACATAGCACCACCCATGTGAGTGGTCTGGAATGGTGGAGAGAGTGAGGATGGTCAAATGTCCTCAAGCCACAAGTTGCCATCTAAACCACACAATTAGGACTTTCCTTACTGGGAAATTTACTAGAGCACTACCAAACTGCTCCACTAAGGAGTTGTTTATGTGAATGCAAACATTGTCCCATTTGAAAAGTAGGAGCTAGCCAGATTGGTTAATAAAGGTATACACCGGTCAATCTAGAGGGGAACTCCTTTTTAATAAATCATGCAGGAGCGATAGCAGCATTATCTGTTGAAATACCTGTTGACCTCACTAGAAATCTACTGATTTCTCTACCTTTGCGGATATATCTCTTAGCACTGTTCCCAGTTCTCTGAACTACATAGCACCTCCTCTATGTTACAAAGAAGAGGGGGAGGAGAAGTAATTTTGTATTCCTAAAACCATGTCATCATATAGAAGCTCATCATTATAAGCTCAAATTAAAACTGCCTCTATAAATAGGAAACTGAATAGTTGCCAGTCTGGCTAGCAGGCCAAGTCTAAAGCTGCCCACACACCTTACAATTTATCATGCAGATTTTCTGTGGTCAGATGGAAAAAGTGCAACAGATTGGCCCAGGTGGAGATTACTCCTTCCACACAGTTAAGTGTAGATGGAGGAATCTGTTGCACCTTTTCCATCTGACCACAGAAAATCTGCAGATAATTGTAAGGTGTGGGCAACTTTAGCAGTAACTGACACTTCCGGGCATGTAGATGTTCCTGTGTTCTCTACTCCTCCAGCGCTCATTGGAGGGACAATATTGTCAGGATCCTTCCAGCTGCAGCGCGACTCTGCGCCGTCAGCATACAACGGGCAGTAGCCTGACTTTTGTCGAGTTTGGGTCACAGGAGTACATTTGTAAATGACCCAAAAGAAAACTAAAGCCAAAAAAAAGGTTTATAATAGCCAGCAGAAGACATTTGACCATCCTCACACAAAAAAATAGTGCGTTGCCAGCCTAAGGGCTCGTTCACACCAAAAGCGTGTGCATTCGAGCGGTAGCTGCTGGAACGCACCGCCATCGCTGTGAAACTTCTCCCCGCGTTTTGGGGCAAGAGGGGGCGTGGCGATGGATTGTATTCAATGGCACCGCTTCCACGCCCACAGTGCGATCGAACGCATGACAAAACTTTCCCAGCGTTGCCTTTAACTGCAAACGCAAAAAGTAGGGCAAGCCCTATTTTTTGCGTTTGCGGTGGAACACAACGCTGGCAAAGTTTTGCCATGCGTTCGATCGCACAGCGGGCTGGGGGGCGTGGAAGCTGTGCCATTGAAAACAATGCACCGCCTCCCCTCCAAAACGCGGGGAGAAGTTTCACAGCGATCGTGGTGCGTTCCAGCAGCTACCACTCTGGAACGCACACGCTTTCAGTGTAAACAAGGCCTTAGGCCTCATGCACACAGACTCATAAGGCCGTATAATGAATGGCTGTAGACAACTGCATGCGGGTTTATGTCACTACATGCATATACCAACGCATGTGTACAGGCTTACAACGCAGTCCTCAACCAGGGACTTCAAGCTGGCGGTTTCTGCAAGTAGTGACGTGAACCCATGTACAGATGTGGAAAAATGCCTGCAATTTAGGTCAGACAGCCTCATGAGCCCATGTGCAAGAGTAATAAATGCGAGTTTGTCCTTTAATGAACATATGAGATTTTAGCAACCGTGTACATATAGCTGTAAGAGCTCAAACATTGCGATCTGATTGTACTTCGGATTGACCACCAAATATGTAGTGCAAAAGCTTGCCTGACTGGATATAAAATGAATAGATTAGGGGGAGCCTCATATTACATTGCACAGTAAGGCTGTAACTTCAATGGAGAGCTTTGAGTGTTTGGCTTCAGATGTAGAATGTCGCCAAAAACCCTAGGAGTCTATTTATAAATCATTTGCAGTCATTTGCCCTGTAAATCTCCATGAACATTGTGCGAATGCGAACATGGAATAACGCATTACAGCCTCTATATGGTGCAGAGAAGCGTATAAAATGCTTTTATATGCTCATCAGCGCCACCTAGTGGCAATAATGCTGTATTACATTACACCCAGAAAAACAAAATATCAGTGTTTGTTTTTGCCTCTATTCGCACAGAATGACCATTCACTGAGATTCGCAGGACGAATGGTTCTGCAAATGGTTCACAAATAAACTCTCTATCCAAGACAAGTGAAATGCGCTGCACGCCTTCCAGCAGTCAGCAAACATCGGCACATACCCTCTTGTTAACCGAATGATGTCTCCTGGCTGAATAAGGCTTCCAATTTCATCCCATACTGAGACTGTGATGCTGCCAGTTTTATCTGCCACTTTGCAGGATCTCACTTCATGACCATCTTTTGTTTTTGTAACTCTGCCTGTATGAAAGTTAAAACAAAAAAGGAAAAAACTAAACCGAAATTTTAGCATGAAGAAAAGTGAAAGGCAATAGGAGGAAGAGCGATGCCGATCGGCCCACCCCCGGCTTGTAGCAGCAGAGGGCTGATCAGAGCTGGGATCACATGTCTGATCCTCCAGCTCACCTACCATCCACTTACCGATCTCCAGCACAATAAAGATGACATTTAAGTTTTTCTGCCCGGTCTTTACGTCTTTAATGGACACAAATGAGTCGTTCGGCACGTTCATGGTGGTGTCAGAGGATCGCTGAGCATTACTTTACACAGGATGTCTGGAGGGGAACTAGATGGTGTCTATTGGTGACGATCTCCTCGCACAACGCCCGGTACGGGCCCTCGTGTTCAGGGGGAGCTCGGTAAAACACCGGCTGCTGGACTTTTGCTGACAGATGAGAATAAACAGGGACAGTCAGCACTCCACGATCACAGGGCGCTCATTAATACAAGGCTCTATAACATGAGCAGAGGCAGCGGTGATAACTATAGTGAGGTGAGGAAGCCCTGACACCCACACTTGTCGCCTTCATAGGCAGGAGCGCAGCTGCGCCCAACTCTATCACTGAAAGTCGTGTACAAGTGAATGGTTTACACGGTGCTCCTTATACAACTGGCTTCCTTTATAAAGCGTTTCCCTCTCTACACCTCAATAACACACCGTCCTCCCCTCACACCACTTCACAAACATCTGCGAGCATGTGCAGTGTGGCCTCTATATATAACAATAGGATACACCATTATACGAGTCCTACGGGGAGCGTTGGATGCCATTTAAAGAGGTTTGACGTTTAGGTTACAGCTCAGTTCAGAGCAGTACTCTCCTTAGTTCAGGTGGTAGTGTTTGAGATTTTATAGCTGCATATTAAATGCTTGAAGCTACAATATTTACTTCAGAGAGCCTCGGAAATGTGAATGGTACAGTCCTTTGAATCAGCTCGTTCTTTTCTAGCGAGTGTACAAAAATGTAAGACGTTGATTGGGCAACAGGCGAGGAAGAGGCGTGGCCCAGGCGTCTTCTTTTGTCCTCTCTGACTTTAGCGAAGCACACTCTCAGTGTTCGTTCGCATTCGCAGTGGTGAGCGGCTGGGTGTTTGGCAAGTGAATATGTAATATTCTTCAACTGTCCCGAATTACTATGGACTGTCCCAGGATTTGAATAAAATCCCCGTGGGTCCTGGCCGAGTCCCGGCATTGAATAGTTAGTATTATACTAACTGTCCTGCCCCTATGTGCCTAGCAGGCTGTCCCTACTGCAGGGGTGGGCAACTTCAGCCCTTCAACTGTTATGGAACTACAAGTACCATGAGGCATTGCAAGACTCATAGTTACAGGCATGACTCCCAGAGGAAGATGTATGTTGGGATAAAAATGGCCTGGATGGGAAGGGGGTTTAACACCGCGGATGTCAACTGGTTAAAGTACAGCTGGAGGGCCAGAGTTGCTCATCCCTGCTCTATGGCCTTCCTCTTATTGGCCAATCTCCAGCCACCAGAACACCTTTCTACCACTTTAGTCCCTGTTTACATGATCAATTGGTTGTGTGTATTCAGGTGCTGAACATGAAGTTTCCCAGTATAGTCAATGGTGCCTGTTAACACCTGAATGTCGTACTGCTGATTGCCACATGAAAAAAGTCAATGAGGTTTTTATTGAGCAGTGTTTTTGGTCCTATGCACTGTAGTTGGAGCATTTAATGGGTGTGTGTTATAAACCTGCCGCATATAGAGGAGGAGGCTCACCTACATTCTCAAATAGAATTGGCTGGTAAGCAGGGACATTTTGTTATAATGGGTGACCTCAATTATCCGGACATTAATTGGTCAAATGGAACCGCTCAGTCTATAAAGGCAGGTTGATATCCTAACCAGGAAGAATGCAATACTAGATTTATTAATCTCTAATAATGCGGACCTAGTTGCAGACATAACACAGACATAGCAATTAGTGATACATTGGGTAATAGTGATCACAGGGTGATTAGTTTTAATGTTGTGTACAGAAAAGAGAAGTGTGTTGGTCTGACAAGAACGCTAAATTTCAGAAAGGCAAACTTCGATAAGGCTGGGTTCACACCTAGGCGTATCGAATATGCACGTTTGTTGCGCGTTTCTACTGCGATTCGCGTTAAAAAATCGCACGACAAACGCGCGTTTCCAAGGGCTACTTGGCTGTATCCCAATGGAAACATGAGACAAAGAAGCTCCTGTACATCTTTGGGCGTTTTGTAGCGCGTTCATACGGCCCGTAATACGCCCAGGTGTGAACCATACCCGTAGGAAATAATGGGATTTCGGTGTTTGAGGGTTTTGCAGAGCGCTTGAACGGGCTTCAAAACGCCCAGGTGTGAACCGGGCCTAAGCTGCGGTGTGTATGACAACAAATGGGACAAATTATTTCTAACAATGAACACTGAACAGAAGTGGGATTGTTTTAGGAATACATTGTTTCCTGGCCATATCCATGGCAGCACTGACAAATGGGTTTAGATCCAATTACCTCTAGTTGACAGGAACCAAAAGGGTTAAACAAGGCATAACCCTCTCTATAAAAGCCCCTCCTCCTGCTGACTTCCCCAGTCTTTTTGTTCCTGTCCCCCCTAGGACAGGGTGGTTTGTATGTTACTGAGAAGTTTTTCTTAATTTGCCAACTGATTGATTTCATATGGCCTCAGGGGAGTTCAGCCTCTCTCCCCTGGGAAGTCTCCAAGACTCGGCCCCGTGCAAGGGTGCCCCCTTGGGGAAGGACAAACTTTGTTTCCATGAGAGGAAGCCGGATTTTCCATATAATGTGCAGCCTGTCAGACAGGGAGGGTAAGACTGTTGTGGTTTCACTTACCTGCGGTGCTGTATGATGTCCTTTTTCATCTCGGCCGGCTCCCCGCGGTCTCGTCTGTTTGCGATGTGTGGGCGAGACAGGATGGGCAGTAGCGGCTTCACCTGGCGTCTGTGCATGCGTGGAAGTTCCGTCGTGCGTGATGTCACCCGAGATTCCGCGCCGAATTTGAAAATTTGCAAGCCATTTTCAGGGAAGTGAAGCTGGAATTTCTTCTTTTGGTTTATCCCCCTTTGGATACCCCTGGAGAGCCCTAAAAGAACGGGATATCATGGACGATTGCCCCTCACCACACCGGTCTGTGGAGATGAGGTAAGGAGAGGAAAAAAAAAAAAGAGGGCATTTTATTTTTCTGACAGTCAAATACTTTTATGTTGAGCCCTGCAGAAATTGAATCTTCTTCATCCTCAGTGACAAGGAGAGATAATTCGGCAAGATGTCAGGCTTGTCAAAGAATTGTGGGGAAAGTGCCTTAAAGAGGCAGCAACCGCCTAAAGGGTTAAACCATCAATATGAATGAGAATCTCCTCTAATCCAAACTCTCTCTGTCCCTTATCACTGCTGCAACCTGGTGGGGACTCCCAATTCTTTAAAGGAGAACTATGAGGTGAGTGCTTTTCACTCACCTCATAGTCCTAGCCGACCTGTGACAATGAGACTGTCACAGGTCGGCTCAGTAAATCGGGAGGTGAGCGAACACATACCGGCGTTCGCTCACCTCTCGATCCTGTCACGGCTCTCTGTCGTGACAGGGGAGGGGCTGGATTCCCCCCTGCCCGATCCACCAGCGCTGACTGGCGGAACGGACGGGGGAGGGGTACAGCTGGCTCTGCCTCTAGATAGGCAGAGCCAGCTGTCAGTCACGCAGCTGGGCGGATCCAGACATAATTGTCGGGATCCGCTTCAGCTGCGGCGTCTCAGTATACCACGAGCAGCAGCTCGCAGTATACTGAGCCTAGGGTGACGGGAGGATGCTAGTTTGTGTCCTCCTGTTACCCTAAGGAGAACTATGGGGAAAAGCTTTAACCCCATAGTTCTCCTTTTTAAAGAGGCAGCAACCACTTCCAATTCTCCCGACATCCTGGATCTTATCCAATGGGCAGTAGCCAAACGGATGAGGCAAGCTGGCCGTTCCCATAAGAGAATAAGAGCAAGCAGTTACCGATTTGCATTGTCAGATGCATGGAAGGGCAAGAGGAAGTTCTGTCCCCCTCAAGCAGACACTTTGCGGGGCAGAGACGGACTGAATCTTCCTTTCCTGTGAGGAAGATCACTAAGTAACTCCTAAAAGAGGGCTTGTTCACGCGATGTCCGGATTCTGTCCAGACCAGAGCAGTTCACTCCTGCACTAAAAACGCATCACAATGTATACCTATGTGTTTTATGGGCTCCAGTTCACACGAGCGCAGTGCTTTCCGTTCCGGACAGAGAAAAATACTGCATGTCACATTTTCTCTGGTCTGCAACGCCCACGAACGCATCTAAGATGCAACAAATATGCGCTAGAAACGCACCGCACTGCAGCCAACTGAAAAAAAAACCTGGAGCGCGTCTGGAATGCGTTGAATGCAGTCTATAATGGAAGTCACCAGCACTGGGTGGCTTCTATTGTGGACTGTGTTTGACACGGCGCCATCCGTGTAGTCACTTCAAGCACCAACCTCTTACTCAAGGTCTGTACGCTGCATGGAGTGCAGGTGATTTCGTATTATCTATGGAATGAGTTAAAAATGCATCAAATACATGTAAAAAAACGCGCTGCACACATTGCTCAGCATCTGCGGGTCTGCTCCAGATCTGGTGAACAAGCCCTAAAACCTATACTGTGTTAGGCATGGGCCTTCAGCCGGCAGTGGCCTTATCTTCGGTATCAAGAACTTCTAAATTGTGGATAGAAGATCTGGAGGATGATATTAAGAGGGACACAGTCTCCTGGATAGGATACATGATATGTAATTTGGCACCTGATTTTGCTACGGGAGCCTCGGATGATTTACTCAAAATGCGTGTCCAAGGGTATGGTATCCTCTGTAGTAGCCCGCCGGGCACTGTGGCTCAGACCATGGGGGGGCCGATTCTTCCTCAAATAGCAGCCTATGTTCCTGGGCATTCCAAGGCGATATGCTTTTTGGCCTGAAATTGGATAGCTATATTAACAGCTATGGATAGCATTAACGCTGTGTTGACTCAGGAGAGGTGAAACCAGAGAAGCTATAGAGATAGCAGGATTCACCAAAATTATATACTTTTCATGACTCCAGGACCTACAAACATGGAAGAGAATCTACTCGATCAATGAAGGGGTCGGTCCAAGAGATATGAGAGTCGGGGAGAGACTATAACTATTCTCGGATCTCTGGCCAGAATCAATAGCAGACGCTTGGGTACTGAAGATAATCGCAGAGGATACAAACTGGGGGTCAGATTTCCGCTCCAAGCTTGA